GCCCCCCCCCAGCTCCCCCCTCCTCCCACATAATGCCCAACTGTGTGCGAGAGCTGCTGGTCCCAGCTGAGAGCTCCAGCTCTGAAAAGGAGGCTTTTAGCCCGAGCTCTGAGAGCCCAGCCCATGCGCTGCTGCTAACATGACACTGAACTAACACTGCACTACAATCAAAGCATTTTAATAATTTAATATAATAAATGTCAGAAGGAGTGAATAATTCCCTGTAACCCTGAGGAGGCTGGAGGTGCCAGAAGGAGCCGAGTGGGTAGATTGAGCTGCTTTAGCAAAAGCCCTTTGACTCTCGGAAGGTAAATTTAAACCAGATGATGGCTGCTGGGTGGTCGCCTCCATGGGCAGAATGGTGAGCACTGTTCAGAAGTGTGCCACTGAAACAATTTGGCCCCAAAATTTGGAAGGCAATGGCTGCAGAGAACGGACAAAGAAAAGAAAAATTAGTTTCTCGGTAGTCATTCATCCAGCTAGACATCAAATCTGAAGAACTGTGGTCTGTTTGCCCACTTTTGGCATGAACGTTCCCACTTTAAGCAGTAAATGGCATGTGGATGATCATTCCAGAAGGCTCTTTAACAACTCCGGGCTGTAACCCACGTGCCTCTGGAATTACGTATGGATGGGAAGGAGCAGCAATACCTGCACAAGCCTGGCCCTGCCCCAAGCCGCTGCCGGGGAGGCTGTGCAGAGTAGGCGTTGCTGCTGGCCACGCTGTCAGCACACGTCTTCATCCACAAGTTTTGGCAATTTGCTCCTGAGCACTCCCCGCCGCTGCCTGGCCCCGGTGCCAGGCTGTTCCTCACTCTGCCGATGGGGTAATGGGAGAGGATCCCTCCAGCAGCGCCCAGCCCAGCAGCTCCATGGGATCGGTGCTTCCCAGGCACACCATGGGCTATACGATGGGTGCTGGTGGGTGACACTATCAAGGATGGAGCATGTGTCCCTACGTACCTCTTGCAAGATTTTCCCTGGGTGGCCATGGTTGATGCCCCCCATCTTCACCGCTTGTCCTCCAAGCAATCCCCCGGCAATGCCCACAGTCCATGTCCGCTTTCTCTGGGTGGCTCAGCAGTGTGTTTGCTGCTGTGCCCAGGGCTTCCAGCCTTCTCCGGCCACTGCTGTTTGTGTCTGTCTCTGACGCAAGGCTGTCACTGTGTGGAGAGGTCACGAGTGACCCCAGCAGCCTTGGGAGGGTCGAGAGCCAGAGCCTGGAGCCAGTTTCTGTACAGCTTTCTCTCTCCTGAGGATGCTGGATCTGTTTTGGGTCTGATGCTCATCCAGGTGGGTCCAAAAACATCCCCTGGGCATGCAGAGCAGAAGCACAGAGCCATTGTCCACATACTAGCAGGCACACACACCCCTCTGGAGCAAGGCAAGGGAGCTCAGCACATGGAAGAAGCGAGCTCAGGCTTAAGTCAAGACCTCTTCATAGCCAGCCAGGCCGGGTCCCCTTGGTAGGAGCAATGACTCCTGAGTGTACCCAGCTGCAACATGCCAGAGGTTGGCAGACGTGCCAATGAGAGGCTCCTGCCTGGACAGCATCCCTTTCCTCTCCTCTGGTTTCTTCTTGTCCAGCCAAAAGTACTCGGGGACATGAGGGGCTTTCGGTAGGGCAGGAGCTGATGGTCTTCAAATGGGTGAAGCACCCTCTGAAAGCAAGTCAGCCCCACAAAAACTCTCCCCAGCAGACACCCCATAACCCTCCCCTCTCGTCCCCCCGTTCTTGCCCACGTGTCCCAGATGGCAGAGCAGGGCATCTCGGGCTTGGACCTACCCCAGCTGGTTAACACCCAACTACTAAGTCAGCAGAGTTAAATTCCAGATGCATGGGAACTCCTTCTAGTTAATAGAGCAGAAACAATCAGCAAAACCACCTTCTTCTTAGGTCCTGGAGACAAATGGAGCTATTTTCACCCAACAGCCCTTGCAGAAGCTGACAAGCAGCTCCTCCTTGCGTGGCAGATGCCCAGCTGCACTCACGGCTCAGCAGCAAGCAACTAAAGAGCCATCCAGCAACAGGCACATCAGGGGGAAAGACAAATTAATGACCAATTAGAGCACTGCCACCATCGCGTCGGACTGGAAGTCTTAGAAATGCATGTTTCAGAGCTATAAACGCAGTGCCCTATGTGTGTTTGATTGGAAACCGATGAAGCCATTATTCAGTTATCCACTTTCTATTTTTCAATGCCAACCCTTGTCTTGCAGCAGCCGAGATGCTCTCTGAGCCCCAGAGCTTTCCCATGGGAAAGCCTCTCCCCCTTCCCTGCCCCGTTAAGGCTGGACATGGAGGGAGCTCGGGGCTCGGTGCAGGGCTGGCGGGGCAAGGCGAGGAGCTCGGGGTGGTGGGGCAGTGCTGGGGGACCGCTGTCTCGTAGATCCAACCCGTACCAAACCAACCTGCTTCGGGACGGTGTGCGGAGGTACCTGCAGCTGCCGGCAGACCAGACGGTACTGATACTTCATGCCAAAGTTGCACAGAAGTCCTACGGCAATGAAAAAAGGTAGGAGATGGCTCCAGCTTCTCCCACTGCCACTTCCAAACCCAGCTACCTACAGCTCGATTTCAGCCTTGCAGGGTTTCTCTGGTCTAAGCTGGTGAAGCAAATTATTTCCCCTCTCCAACCATTCATGACCTCTCTGCATCCAAAACTACTGTTTAGTCTTGGACTAATGATATTAACCCATCCCAGTTAGACATTCCCAGTGGTTAGGTTCCTCCCATGAGCACTGGAAATCAGAAAGATGAAGTAAAAGAAGGAAATAAACTATTCAAGAAGAAGGTGAAAAAGGTTAGTGCTCTGGAAATCTTGTCTTAAAATCTGAACGGCCACAGCAGGGACTGGGGCGTTTCCATCAATGCCCACTGTCTCCAAAAGCTGCTGTTTTTGAAAATCCTTCCCACACTGCAAAAACACCTTGAGGTTCTGGCTTAAATCTCCCAAATTGCTACTCCCGGATAGTGATGTCAAACTGTGGCACTGGAATATAATTAATCCCCCATTAATCCTTGTGATATAAATAATCCTCCGTTATTATCAAGTGTGGAGCAGCTATGAGGCGACGAGCTCTGCCTCTAGGGCGTAACCCACCCAGACCCCAGCGACCCCAGGAGACAGCTCCAGGCTGGGCTGGCTCTGCCTACAAACTCCACATCGCATCCAGCCTCCTGCCAGGACATACTGGTCCACAAGTAAAGGTTTTATTTCAGGACTGGGTCTCCCCACATTGCAGAGCCTTTGGAACAGCCTCCTCCTCCTCCTCTCCCTGCTCTAGACCTCATGCAAAGGATGAGCGTGAAAATCAGATGCCAGGTCTGGAGAGGGAGAGAACACCGGCCCAGAGCTCCCAGGTTGAAGTGTGAAGGTGCTGGGGCTGTTTTCCTTCATGGTATGAGCCAGGGGCCCGTGCTGTGGATGATTTGTTTAAATAAACCCGAACTCAGGGCTTCCCTCCTCCTCCTCTCCCTGCTCTAGACCTCATGCAAAGGATGAGCGTGAAAATCAGATGCCAGGTCTGGAGAGGGAGAGAACACCGGCCCAGAGCTCCCAGGTTGAAGTGTGAAGGTGCTGGGGCTGTTTTCCTTCATGGTATGAGCCAGGGGCCCGTGCTGTGGATGATTTGTTTAAATAAACCCGAACTCAGGGCTTCAGGGCTCTGAAATATCCCCCCCCCCCCACTGGTGTTTTCCCTGCTAGCGCCTTACCCAGTATCAATAGAGGATGAATTTGCACCATTCACCCAAGCGCAAAGACAGTGGAAACCCAAATAAAACACAGGAAAATGGCTTTCCAAACCCCTGGCTATAGATTTATTTGTGTTGGGCTCCGAAGCTGGCTGTGAATGCAAACTCTGTTCCCGACCTGCCAAAACTCCCACACGGCAGGCGGGGAGGGGCAGGGGCCCTGTCACTCCT